AAAACATAACACTATGAAAGTATAAGAATACATTTTTATCGTAAAATGACCAGTAATACATTTTATAGTAGAAATACCAACAAAACATTTTATCTGTAGTTGAAGGCAGACAATTACATTCAGAATATATTTATCTGAAGCCATAAAATTGTTCAAAATATTTAGATTTCAGCATTAAATAACCCATAGAGGTGTTGATATGTCTCTAAACAAAATCAACCAATCAAACAACCAACATGAAAGGATTCTTTCATGACATCAATTCATATAATATCTTATAATTTCTTAAAGAAATCAAACTGCATTTCAAATTATAACTTCAAAAAAAAAAAAAACTACAACATAAAACATACATATCACCGCCTCTAGCAATCATGTCCACACAATCATGTACAGGGTGCGATGGATAAATTGTCGTCTACATTATACTAAAATGAAAATAACACTGACATCTCATTTTAACAGAGATATTATAGTGAAGAAAACGGCGACTTACCTCGTCAAACCAAGCGACAGCGCGTCGCGTGTATTCTACGACAGAAAATGTGTCGAAAAAGAAAATTACTTACCAAACAAAAGGGCACGTATTCCGCATGACATGCTGAAAATGCAATATTTGAATTAAAAAACAAGTCCGTCGCTGGAGTCGCTATAAAAGTATTTCGATATGCAAATTACTGAACATCCTCTCCCAGCTGTCGACGAATGAAAAAAGAAAGGTTCTGCCGATAAAAGCAGTTGGTGTTCTTGAATCGAGAGTGGAAAATTTGGGCATTTTGGCTACGGCGTTTGTTAGAGAGTGAGTTATTTTTCTGACTGGTTACACGCATTGTGATTTGAGATAGTACCGGCGAATCGAGTTTTCAGCATTTCTTTCTGCACCCGATATTTGAGTCTGTACTTACAGTGATTTTTCTTTGTGTTGTGGAAGTAATCTGCGACTTCCTTTGCTTTCAGAACGCTTACACCTATTTACCAAAACAACACAAAAATATCTTGAAATACAAAAGAGTAAATTTATTTAATAAAATTGCGATTGACTTCAACCACAGCCTCCAGACAACTTCGGAATCTCCTGCAACTCTTCTGGATGGTCTCTTTGTTTAAGTTTATGAATGCTGCCATAATCCTTGCTTTCAGTTCATCTTTGGTATTACAAGGAGTTTTGTTGGTCTCTCACTCAATTCAGCCCCACACATAATAATCATGTGCAGCATGGTGCAGAGTTCTGTTGCCAGACATAGGGTCTTCCAGCAGCCACCCTCTTGACCTAGGGAAGCACTACCTTCTCAAGGTATTTGATGTTGGTCTCTGTGTTGAGTCTGAGACCCTGTGGAAAGATAGATGGAGGCATAATGTCACCATTACTAGTGATCACTACTTACATCTTTGTAATCACCATTAGACTCATCCAACTCTATCTGAATGCTCTGCACTGTCCTCAGATTGACACCTAAACACACTGAAATGTTTGTATTGAAACTTCTGGCATGTCATGCCATTTCCAAATTTCTGGTGGAGTGAATTGTGTCATGATGAACTTTTTCTCACAGACAGTGGCCAACTGAACCTACTATTCTGATCAGTTAAACAAAAACAAAACGCATGTGTGATATTAAAAATATAAAATGCAGACAATTTACCCATCGCACCCAGTATTCTTTCACATTCAATAACTCCTTATGTCTTAGGGGCTTTGTCTTTCTTAGATTGAAAAGATTTTAAAAAAAAAAGAATGTAATCTTTTGCCAGAGAAATTGTCTTTGTAGGATCTATACACAAAGCTTCACCACCCCTCTTCCCGATTACCTGGACAAATTTGGAACTTGGAATGTCTCATCATCATCATCTTACAGTTCAAATGGTTAGATGTAACTGCAATTTCTATGCTAACAGTTTCTTCTATTGCACTTCTTGCTTGTGAAACTCACTTCTGCCTTTTCTGGCAAAATCATAAACAAACAATGCCCATGTGCAAAATTAAAAATATAAATTGGTGACAATTTATCCATCACAAAAGCTGAGTATCATCTGCCATGTAATCAATTGTAAAAGCTGAATAATATATATATCATATTTTTATTATTTCAAAGCTCCAAAGAAAATTAAATTTTGGCATTAAATAACCCATGAAGGAGTTGATATGTTGTTAGATAAACAAATCAATCACTCATTATATAATGATTGATATATCATAAAATCCACCAACCCTATGTGACCAATGTTTCCCAATAGACTCAAATATAAAAAAAAACTGATTTCAACATTAAATAATTCAAGAAGAGTTGATCTATTGTAAAATCTATCAACTGACAGGTTTGAAAAATTCATGCTTGAATTTTCGTAAATGATTGTTTATAACTTTGTCTTAGGGTATTCTTTTCACTCACTCAAGCAAACTGAAAGGAATGGTGTAAGACACGTTTTATTAAGTTAAAGGGTTTTCAGCATAGCAGAGTCTGAAGCAACATTTGCAACAACAATGGAGGAATTGTTATCAGTTGCTAAGATGTTTGTTTTTAAATCAGTTCTTGGGCTGTGGCTCCAGAATAACAGGGTTTGGCATGCTGGTCTTCTATGCAAGATCCAGGGCTATGGTATTACAGGATTTTTGTTTGATTTAATCCAATCATTCCTATCAAATCAATTGTTTTGAATGGGCTCGCTTCCAGATCTTTTCACATGAATGTGGGTGTTTCCCAAGTCCTGGGTTCTATGCTGTTTCTGATCTTCATCAGTGATCTTCCTGATGCCATCAGTTCCCTAGGTATGCAGATGACACTACCATTTACTCTTGTCTCAGTAGCAAATCCGTCAGAGTTGACAAAGTCAATGTGGCTGCTGCTCTTGAAAAGGACCTCCAATCAGTGGTTAACTGGGGCAGGAAATGGCTTGTAAATTTTAATGCCCCCTAACCAAAACTGCACTCATTAACCACTATTCTGCCTGCCATCAACATGGCTGATGTGAGACACCTGGAGAGCAACACATTGTGTCTTCTTGGCTTCACGTTTTCCACTGACTAAGTGGAATGACTATACCAAATCAATAGTTGCATCTACTGCAAGGAAAGTTTCGTCACCATGTCATGCCAGAAAATTTTTCTCATCAGAGTCCATCTTGCACATTTACATATCTGCCATTTGTCTGAGCATTGAATACTGTTGTCATACCTGGTTTGGTGCTCCTGCTATTCATCTTGAGGTTCTTGACAAAATCCAAATGAAGGATCTGCAATATAATCGATCCTGACTTGGCATCTCAACTTCAGTCACTTTCTCACTGATGTGACATGGGTTCCCTCTGTCTTTTCTACAAATATTTTCATGGCAACTATAAGACTTGAATCTGGAAAAATCTTTTTTATTCACAAAAGAAACATTGTTAATTCACTTGTAAAAATGGAATTATTCATACAATCCAAAATATTCCTTAAAGTGTTGATAAGCTGTAAAAAGTTTCAACTCCACACTGACTATATTCATAATAGCTACTAAATGACTTTTGGTTGGTAGCAAACACAAATTTTTATAACTATCATGAATTTCATTTAATCATTTCAGTGAAGCAACATTAATTCAAATTTTTCCTTCCTTTGTTATAATTTGAGATACATTTTTTTTGTTTGCTTTCTAAAAAGAATAAATTACATTGTCTATTTTTTTTCCTTTTTTAAATGAAGTGACACTTATTCACAGTTTGATGTTAGTTGTTCTCATTTTCACTTGAACTTGACCCCACATCTCTATACTTACAGGTTTCAGAACCGATTATATCCTTACGTTCCAGGAATAGACATGTCTTTTAGTTTATTCATAAAAAACCTTTGTTATTTTTTTAACATCTTTACTGCAGTTTAAATATATTTTTTTATCATCTGTAATCTTTTTGTTTTTTTCATAAGTTCTTTTATTCAATGAAGACATTTTGGGCAATAATTTCTAATATTAGTATTTAACATGTTAATGCTCATCAGAAAATTTGGAATTTTAAAAATATAAATAAAAATCTGGTATTTATTATTAATTGTAGGTTGTTTAAAAAAAACATGTCTTATTGTCAAAAAGAAATAGTTAAAATATGTGTCTAAAAAATGGTATTACTTATAGGTGTGCAAATTAAACTGGTATTATAGTTTTCTTAAAAAAATGTAATATTTTAGGTTTCTAAAATAAGTTTGGTATTATAGTTTCCTAAATAAATTTAGTTGTAATTATAGGAGAGACAGTGGAGTAATGGATAAAGGCTCGGATTGAGGAATTGGAAAGCGGAGTTCAAATCCCAGTTGAATCCATTACATTCACTTATGTGCTAATACCCTTGGGAAAGGTATGAATCCTCTTCTTCTTCCCCCAGTTATGTGTAAATAGCAGGATAGACCAGGTTCTATAGCCTTGGATGGCAATTGGTCTACCGCAGAAAGAAATGGCAAATTACTGTGGGAAAAAATCTGCCTCATCAGTCATGTTTTGAAAGATACAGATCTCGTAAGCGTGTATCACACATGGCACATAACTGAGTAATTATAGATTTCTAAAAAAAAAAAAAAAATCCACTATTAATTTTTTGGGATTTAAAAAAAAAATATGTAAAAAAAAAAAAAAAAAATCTTTTTATATATTAGAGGTTTCAAAAAGAAAAAAAAAATTAATTAAAAAATTGCGATTAGGTTTCTAAAAATTTATTGGTTCTTAAAAAAATTCAGTATTCCAGGTTTGTATGTATAACTTAATAATCCCAATGTCTTTAATGGTGGGAGGGTAAGCATTAATGGGATTAAATTTTGTGAAGAAAATTGTATTTTATTATTACTTTTTCTTCCTTGGCCAAGTTGAAAAAATAAAAATAACATGATCAGTTTACTGTTTGGAGTTTATGTAAATAGTGATTATGATTATTCTTTGTATACTGAATAAATTTGCTTCTTTCAGAAAAAATGTCTTTTCTTTCTTTTTTTTTAATTTTAATTTTCTAAGCAATGACTTTGTGTTGTTTTCTAGGCAAAGAAAATAATGTACCCAAATCAAAACGTAAACAGCCTGCAATCCGAGGGAAAGAAGTGAATCATGAGCTATGCAAAGCCATTAAAAAGTGCCTGTTGGTCACGCCGGCACTGGCTTGTTTGAAACTTCAAGGTCTTCCACTTCGAGACTCTGACATCCTTTATTTGGCAAAGGTTAGTTTCTATCTTTTTTTTTTCTTTTTTGTGCAGATTGCATTATTTTGTTTCATTTCCTTTGTCTGCAGTGATTGATGGCTTTTAGAAGAGATCACAAGGAAAACTTTGCAATTAATTGAAACTAATAAAAGAGTTAGCATATTTTAAAAAGGGATTTTATTTCAGGTTATTATTCAGGATTTTTTTCATTTATTGTTTAAATACATTAAAAAAAGACTAAATTACAAGAATTCAGAACAAAAATAGGAACTTCCAATATGATTTGAACTACTCTATGTTGGTTTCAGTCACTATACAAATGACTGCAAAAACATCCACCTTACCAAATTTATAGATAAACCATACAGATGCATGCTGGGATTTCTTCCTAGCAAGTAAGATATGCTACTTCTCAGTCATATCTGACTTAGTTCTGTTCTTGTCTTAAAGTCAGAACACTTCAATCACTTGCTTGTATCCCTTTTTATGTGTTAACATCATTCTTAGTTTGTGAACTTTTTGCCTTATTACTGTTGCCTTGCCTTGTATATATTGTTTGCTTGCTTTATATTATTTTTTATTACTATTACCTTGTCATATTGTTTTGCTTGCCTTGTATATTTTTGCCTTGTTTATATTGTTTGCTTGCTTTATATTATTTTTGCCTTTATTACTGTTGCCTTGTATATATTGTTTGTTTGCTTGTATATATTTTTTGTTTTGTATATATTGTTTGCTTTATATTATTTTGCCTTGTATATATTGTTTGCTTGCTTTATATTATTTTTGCCTTATTACTGTTGCCTTGTATATATTGTTTGCTTGCTTTATATTATTTTTGCCTTATTACTGTTGCCTTGCCTTGTATATATTGTTTGCTTGCTTTATATTATTTTTTTATCCTACTGTTCCTCTTTTTATTTGTTTGTTGCAAATTTTTTTTGTCCTGTTTTGTTTTTATTGTTTATTGCAAATTTCTTTTGTTTGAAATTTAACCATGACTAATTACTCTACAGTTTTTGGGAGCTTTTAATTTTATATAAGAATATTAGCAAAGTGTAACTTATGTACTAGCAAAAAAAAAAAATTAAAAGGAGTGTTTTTTTTCTCTTGACACCACAATTATTGTAGACTTCCTTGGCATTTTTTATTGTTTTAAAAAGCTGTTTTTAGAATTTTAATAAAACCCAAACACATGAAACCAGATTTATGCATTCTCTTTTTCTTTGACAACAAAAAAATTAATCACTTAACTCCAACCTGTTTCACTTCACATCTTGCACTGGTACTCTGTGCAGGCAGGGCTAAAAACTGCCCCTTCTGTCTTCCTTCTCAGAGTATTCTCTGTCCACTTCTCAAGGCTGGCATAACTGTCTTTGTGACAAATCTAATTTTTAAAGTGTGCAGGAGAAAGGGCTTGGTTTAGTCTCCTCATTAATTTCAATTCTCTGACTTCCTTTCCTGGAACCATCTGTCCAGTGAAAACACAAACCAGATCACTTTTGAGCAATGGATAAAAATTATTTTCCAATTTGTTTTTGTCAAGGACAATATATTTGTTTACCTAAATTCTCAACAAAGAGGCACGCAGTTTTCCATCCTTGGGCCAGTTGTCATCTTAGCGAAAACATAAACCAGATCACCTGCCTGTTATCACGGATCAATTTTCATAATCCTAACCTTTGCAGTGGGTTCATTCTCTTTTTTTATTTCATAATTTGTTTTTGCTGACAAAAATATAATTCCTGTCTGCTTCTCTTTTCACCAATGACATGTTTTTCTAATTTCCGAAAAAAAAAAAGATGAAGCCATTTCCCAATTTGCTTTACTGGCATGCCAGATTTTCAATATATATATAAAAAGAGTAAACTTTCTGTGCATCGTTCCAAATTGTAGGGGTGAGGCAACCCAGATGGCACTTTCTTCACTTTGACATTACCAGGGAAAATGTCTTTCATTCTCTCTTTCTATCTTCCAGTTTATATTTCATTTTGGGCTTAACCCTTTTTCTACTGAGAATTAGAATTAATGTTTAACCACCTCACAACCCCTCAGTGTCACAATCCAGTAATAGTCAACACTCTTTTTGACTTACTTCCTTTTTTTTTCTAGGTGTTAAACTTTGGCAGAATGTCTACTATTTTTTGCTACTGAAACCATCATGTTTACAAAGAGTTCTTTTAATCTTTTGCATCTTCCACAACTGTCTTTGTCCTTTTTTTGAACTGCATTTCACTTTACTATGGCTGCAGTAAAACTACTAACTACACCTCACTATCCATCTATATTGGACAAGAGAATCCACAGGGTTGCATGTGTCACACTTCCTAGAGCATAGATACAATACTTAAGTATGTTAGCTACTTCTATAAGTAATGTATAAGGTTTGTACAAGAATATTTTATATGAAATAATGGTGGTGAATAGATCCATGCATAAAATAAGAGAGACCAATTGATTTATAATACAAGACAACATTTATTTAACAAAATTAAAAAAGGAAAGTTCAAGAGTTTCTTTTCCTACAAGTAAATTACATACACAGCAAAAATTGTTAATGAATGTATTTGAATGTGACTTGTCTGTGTATGTTTGTGAAGTGTCCACAGCCCTTTTTGTTTCGGCATGAAAACTTGATGGCACACACTTCGAAAGAAGGAAAAACAGGAAGAGAGAGTTACTTAAGTGTTTGCTTGTTTTTGTATCCTCAGGGCTGCTGCTGATACTATGTTTAAGACACTACAATACTAAAGTCAGATCTTAGGCAGACAGCCAGAGCATGACATTTTGATCCTAGTCAACCTTTCCAAATATGCTGATCCAATTAAGAAGTGCCAATCCATGTATAAATAATCCTGCCATTTTTTATGGGTACTATTCTAGTCTGTTATAACTGTCTATTGTTTCTGAATAATTCATTTGATCAATTCCTCTGAGAGGAACATTTATTCTCTATTCATTTCACATTGCTAACTTTTATTGGATTAGCAAGAAGTTAGTGACAGAATCAAGAGAAAAATATAGAAAATCATTTATAGAGAGTAATTTTTGTTTCTATTGGAAGTTAATAATTCTGAATAAGACACAGACAAGATGACAGCTGTCAAGCCAGTAAGTAAAAGACCTTGTACTGTGAGACATATTTACAAAGCTTAATTATATTACTGTGAATCAATATAAAGACTTGTAACTTTCCAATTCCATTATTAGTCACTCTCTTATTTGTCATTGAAAGCATTGTTGGTTACTCTTTTATAAGTTACTAGAAAGACCTGTGAAAATTTCAGTTTTCCTATTTTAATTTTCTGGTGAATCTTAATTCTTCAGTTAATGATTAATTAAGCTCATGGTGAGTTATATGACAATAAAATATCTGGGGAAATTCCCCTATCGCATTGTTAAATATTTGAGTTTAACAACTTTAACAAAATATTGCAATCACAATCATAAATATGAATGTTGGTCATTATTTCAAGAAGTAAGGGGGTACAAGTGAGAGGTCAAATCATATAGTTGAGCTTAGCAACTTTAACAAAATATTGCAATAACAATCATAAATATGAATGCTGGTCGTTATTTTAAGAAGTGGGTACAAATGAAAAGATTTGAAATTGATAACTTTTTCATTGAGACAACTGTTAAACATTTCTATTTTACCGTCTTTCATTCATTCATTTTATCACTGAAACCAAGTAGTGTATGTCTTTTGTTTCTCTTTTTTATGCAATCAAAACAGAATAGTCCATTATTTGCGAGGTATTGACAAGAGACGTTAAACACTTCTACCTTCCTTTCTAGCCAAATCCTTACAAACATTTTTTTTAATAATTTAAAAATAATTCAGCGGACAATGTTATTTTTCTATGGTAACTAGATTTTTGGCAACGACCTTATTCAGTTTCTGTCATTTGATACTTTGCTTCTGAAAAATGTGCGTTTATCTTGGTTGCCATATCTCCTTGGCTTTTTGGCTGAAATCAAAGTGTAGTATCTGTTCTTATCAGCTTAAACCGATTCTCTCTCTCTCTCTCTCCTTCTATCTTCTCTTCTTCCTTTCATTTTCTCACTGAAATGAAATAGTGGTTTTTCCCCTCATTCCATGCAGTCAAAGTGAAATAGTTAATTATTTATGAGGTATTGGCAGGGCATAATGGTCATGTGAAGTAACAAAGGGAGGGACAAGCACAATTATAATAGGATTAGAGTGTTTGAAAAGTAATTACCTTTTATCAGTAATGATATGTTTCAGTGAATGAAATAAATGAAAATCAGTAGGTGCTAAATCTGTTGAGTATAGAGAATGTTTAAGAACCTTCCATCCTTAGGATCTTTTATTTATTTTTTTTCTTGGTGTTGGTTTGCAAAGTATGACCTTGAATTATCAGGCTGGAGAATAAGACCTTTTATTAGTTTACATATATTACCGCTGAAGCAATATAAAGGTTTGTCAGTCTCCAACTTCATTAGTGGTCCATTTTTTTTTCTTGAAAGTGTGACCTTGCATTATCAGGCTGGAGAATAAGACCTTTTATTAGTTTACATATATTACCGCTGAAGCAATATAAAGGTTTGTCAGTCTCCAACTTCATTAGTGGTCCATTTTTTTTCTTGGGTTTGGTTTGCAAAGTGTGACCTTGCATTATCAGGCTGGAGAATAAGACCTTTTATTAGTTTACATATATTACCGCTGAAGCAATATAAAGGTTTGTCAGTCTCCAACTTCATTAGTGGTCCATTTTTTTTCTTGGGTTTGGTTTGCAAAGTGTGTGACCTTGCATTATCAGGCTGGAGAATAAGACCTTTTATTAGTTTATCTATATTACCGCTGAAGCAATATAAAGGTTTGTCAATCTCCAACTTCATTAGTGGTCCATTTTTTTTCTTGGGTTTGGTTTGCAAAGTGTGACCTTGCATTATCAGGCTGGAGAATAAGACCTTTTATTAGTTTATCTATATTACATTTTGTCAGTCTCCAACTTCATTAGTGGTCCATTTTTTTTCTTGGGTTTGGTTTTAAAAGTGTGACCTTGCATTATCAGGCTGAGAATAAGACCTTTTATTAGTTTATCTATATTACCGCTGAAGCAATATAAAGGTTTGTCAGTCTCCAACTTCATTAGTGGTCCATTTTTTTTCTTGGGTTTGGTTTGCAAAGTGTGACCTTGCATTATCAGGCTGGAGAATAAGACCTTTTATTAGTTTAGCTATATTACCGCTGAAGCAATATAAAGGTTTGTCAGTCTCCAACTTTATTGGTAGTCCTTCTCTTATTAGTCATTTGAAGCATTTTCAAATATTGGTGGTCCATCTCTCATTAGTAGCCTTACTACCATATTACATTGAAACACTGGTGATCACCTAAGCAACCTTGGGACTGGTCAGTATGTAGATGGGTATCTGCTTGGGAATACCAGGTGCTGTAAGCTTGGATGTGCAGGTGGTGTAATAGATATTGGCTCAGAATTGTTAATTGGAGAGCTATATTCCAATTAGTGCTGGGTTTGTTATATTCACTTACATGCAAATATCTTTGGGAAAGGTATAAATCCACCTCCCTCCTGCTATGGGTTAATTAGTAAGACTTGTATAACTAAAACCATTATCTCTTCCCCACCCAATTCTTACAATCTAAAAAACATATTTTCTAACTTTAATTAACCTGCAAAAGGTTAAGCTGTAGAAAACGAATCCATCAAATCTCACATTAGTCATTTCAAACATTGTTGATCCTTCTCTTATTAATCATTTAAATCAGTTGTGTTTTCTTTCTTATTCATCATTTTTTTTTTTTTTTTGCAATTATATTCACCCTGTACAAAGCCCAAGAGCCACTCAATGCAGAAGATTACAGAGTAAGAGGCACAGTTTATAGGGATATGAGGGAAAGACAATAGTTAAGCCTAGACTTGAAGAGGTTAAGATAGAAGTGATCAGAGAAGGATCCTCTTGGGAGTTGGTTCCACAAAGCAGCAGCTTGTAAGAAGAAGCTGTTTGAGTGGAACTTTAATCTCACCAATGGAATACAATGGTGGCTTGCTACAATATGTGTCGCATGGTGAGTCTTAGTTGTGAAGGTTAGAACTGGTGGAACTAATGAATATAGTTCATCTGAATATTTTCCATGGAAGCAGCAATGGAGAAATGTTTTGTCTATGAGAAAGGGATTGTTTCCAGCATTTCTAGTGATGGATTGTATGTATAAGTTCCAGGGATGAGTTTAACATCCAATAGGAGCTCAAGGCCTGAGAGAACACCTGTTTATTGCAAGAGGTGAAAATTTAGCGTTTGCCCAGTGATTATAAGAATACCACTAATTTGGTTTTCGAGGCATTGAATGTAACCAGTCAGTCCCCACCCCCACACTAAGCTGTGCTAGGTCAGGTGAGAGATCAGCTGTCAAGCTTTGGTTATGTAGAGTTTTGGAGGTGCACCCATATTCCATTTTAATTTAAACCATTATTGCTCTCAATGTGATAGGGAATGACAACAAAAACATCTCCCCTCCCCAAATTTATAGACAAATAATACAGATACATGCAAGGATTTTTTACTAACCAATGAAATAGACCACTTCTTGGTGTCATTTGTCATATTTTTGTTCCTGTCTTGAAGTCAGAATGCTGTGGTTACATGTCTGTATTCCTTTTGTGTGTCAAGACTATTCTTTGCAAACGTTTTTGCTTTATTACTTTGCCTACTTTTGTCTTGCATATACAAGATGAGGCAAAAGTTGCATGCCATAGGGATAATTTATTAAAAGAATAATTACACATGAAAATTTGATTTCCTAGTTATTTAATTGTTATATGTGCTGTTCAAAATGTTACCCTTCTTTTTCAAAACACATTTCAATTCTGTGCTTACATGATTCAGTAACATGTTAGAGAATTTCATCTGTCATTTTACTGCATTCATATTTTATTCTTTGTTTAAGTTCCTGTTCTTTGCTTTCTTTTGTTACTGTTTATTGCAAACTTTGTCTGTTACGATTGTTGGGGGTTTCTGCCAGTTACACTTAGCCATGCCCAATTACTCTATATCTATTAGCCATTTCAAGCATTGTTAATCTCTCTTATTAGTCATTGAAAGTGATTTTCATGAAATGTGTCCCTTTTTCAGTTTCTTTTAGAATATATTGCAGGTGGTATATTGACGCACAAATAGATATTGAATGACAGAAGACAACAACAAACAAAATGAAAACAAATGAAGTCAAAAATATATATTGCCAAGTTTATTTTCATTAAAGAAAATACATTAACAAAAATAAGGTTACAGTGCACAAGGCAAAAAATATCTTTGTATGTTCATGTAGAGGGTGAGAGGAGTATTGTCCTGAAAGGGATAGATTTGATAGTTGCTGAAGAGTGTTGTCCTGAAATGGATAGTTTTCATAGTTGCTGAAGAGTGTTGTCCTGAAAAGGATAGTTTTGATAGTTGCTGAAGAGTGTTGTCCTGAAAAGGATAGTTTTGATAGTTGCTGAAGAGTGTTGTCCTGAAAAGGATAGTTTTGATAGTTGCTGAAGAGTGTTGTCCTGAAAAGGATAGTTTTGATAGTTGCTGAAGAGTGTTGTCCTGAAAAGGATAGTTTTGATAGTTGCTGAAGAGTGTTGTCCTGAAAAGGATAGTTTTGATAGTTGCTGAAGAGTGTTGTCCTGAAAAGGATAGTTTTGATAGTTGCTGAAGAGCATTGTCCTGAAAAGGATAGTTTTGATAGTTGCTGAAGAGCATTGTCCTGAAAAGGATAGTTTTGATAGTTGCTGAAGAGCATTGTCCTGAAAAGGATAGTTTTGATAGTTGCTGAAGAGTGTTGTCCTGAAAAGGATAGTTTTGATAGTTGCTGAAGAGTGTTGTCCTGAAAAGGATAGTTTTGATAGTTGCTGAAGAGTGTTGTCCTGAAAAGGATAGTTTTGATAGTTGCTGAAGAGTGTTGTCCTGAAAAGGATAGTTTTGATAGTTGCTGAAGAGTGTTGTCCTGAAAAGGATAGTTTTGATAGTTGCTGAAGAGTGTTGTCCTGAAAAGGATAGTTTTGATAGTTGCTGAAGAGTGTTGTCCTGAAAAGGATAGTTTTGATAGTTGCTGAAGAGTGTTGTCCTGAAAAGGATAGTTTTGATAGTTGCTGAAGAGTGTTGTCCTGAAAAGGATAGTTTTCATAGTTGCTGAAGAGTGTTGTCCTGAAAAGGATAGTTTTGATAGTTGCTGAAGAGCGTTGTCCTGAAAAGGATAGTTTTGATAGTTGCTGAAGAGCGTTGTCCTGAAAAGGATAGTTTTGATAGTTGCTGAAGAGCGTTGTCCTGAAAAGGATAGTTTTGATAGTTGCTGAAGAGCATTGTCCTGAAAAGGATAGTTTTGATAGTTGCTGAAGAGCGTTGTCCTGAAAAGGATAGTTTTCATAGTTGCTGAAGAGCGTTGTCCTGAAAAGGATAGTTTTCATAGTTGCTGAAGAGTGTTGTCCTGAAATGGATAGTTTTCATAGTTGCTGAAGAGCGTTGTCCTGAAATGGATAGTTTTCATAGTTGCTGAAGAGTTTGTCCTGAAAAGGATAGTTTTCATAGTTGCTGAAGAGCGTTGTCCTGAAAAGGATATTTGATAGTTTTGAAGAGCAAAGGATAGTTTTGATAGTTGCTGAAGAGCATTGTCCTGAAAAGGATAGTTTTGATAGTTGCTGAAGAGCGTTGTCCTGAAAAGGATAGTTTTGATAGTTGCTGAAGAGTGTTGTCCTGAAAAGGATAGTTTTGATAGTTGCTGAAGAGTTTTGTCCTGAAAAGGATAGTTTTGATAGTTGCTGAAGAGTGTTGTCCTGAAAAGGATAGTTTATTGCATATCATGGCTGCCTGCGAGGATGGCTGGAGATGTGGGCCAGCTGTTGGCTGCTGGAAGAGATACTGCACTTGATCCTAGTCATTATTTAAAGTATAAAAATACAATTGTGGCATAAGGCTGAAGGGGGAAATTGTGTGAGGTTGGTGGTTACTAAACCTAGCTAATCTTATTCATGATTCATTCATTACAATTTTCTTAATCACCAGAAAAAGTAATTCATCAGACATACATTGCAATATATACAAATGCCATTTTTTTTTTTTTTTTTTTTTTTTTTTTAGTCATCTGGGCCACGGAACTTTTTTTTTTTTTTTTTTTTTTGTTGCTTTTTATATCCTTGATCAGTTTTATAATGATTGCTGGTTAAATTTTTTCTTTTGATTGTTTTTAAAAAAATGTGGAGCTGCTGACACATATATAGTTTTGATTATTAACATGTTTTTCCTTTTTCTTTTTTGAAGGGACTAAATAAAAACTGTTCCCTGAATTACTTGTCCCTCACTGGCTGCAGAATTGGCGACAATGGCTTAGAAAGTAAGTATCAAGAAACAACAGTAAGATTAAATTTGATTTTAAACCTTGAATTTCAGCAGAAAATGATGGCCTTGTGCCAGCAACCTGTTAGAAGATCACAGAACAATTGAGAATAAAAAGCAGAATAACAATCAAGAGAGAAGTATGAAAGATAATAAAAAAAAGCCATCAACCATAATAATGGTTGACATTAGTGGTTACTAATCTAATTGTAAGGAAAATAAATGAAGTAAACAATTTTTTTTTAGCTTAAGTAAGGAAGAAATATTGAAAAATTAACAAGGAAAAGAATAGTTGATATCTGTCCAAGCTCATCCAGGTGAAGAAGGTTTCTTGGAAACTTCTCACCAATCATGATTGGGTAAAAGTTACAAGTCAATATTATAATGAACCCTGTAGCTAATTGGTGTAATCTAAGAAGAATATTGTTTACAAATTACCAATGGGAAGAGAATTGGTATGCTCTGCTTTTTTTAGAATTAACTTAAATTTCATTGAGACTTAATTTTCAAAATTAAAAAACAAACTTTCTATATCTGTTCTGAATTAGAATTGTTCAAAAGTCATAGCTTCATTTTTCAGTTAAGAAATTTATCCTTCTATGTTCTAATGTGTTGCTAACTTTGTTCTCTTTCTGTCTGAGGTGATGCAAATGCAAACTTTGTTCTCTTTCTGTCTGAGGTGATGCAAGCTTTGTTCTCTTTGTGTCTGAGGCGATGCAAGCTTTGTTCTCTTTGTGTCTGAGGCATGCAAGCTTTGTTCTCTTTGTGTCGAGCGATTGTTGTTCTCTTTGTGTCCGAGGCGATGCAAGCTTTGTTCTCTTTGTGTCCGAGGCGATCTTTGTTCTCTTTGTCCGTCGATGCAAGCTTTGTTCTCTTTGTGTCCGAGGCGATGCAAGCTTTGTTCTCTTTGTGTCCGAGGCGATGCAAGCTTTGTTCTCTTTGTGTCTGAGGCGATGCAAGCTTTGTTCTCTTTGTGTCTGAGGCGATGCAAGCTTTGTTCTCTTTGTGTCTGAGGCGAAGCTTTGTTCTCTTTGTGTCTTTGTTCTCTTTGTTCTCTTTGTGTCTGAGGCAATGCAAAGTTTGTTCCTCTTCTGTCTCAGGTGATGCAAAGTTTGTTCCCCTTCTGTCTAAGCTGATACAAACTTTGTTCTCTTTGTGTGCAAGGTGATACAAACTTTGTTCCCCTTCTGTCTAAGGCAATGCAGACTTTGTTCCCTTTATAAGGCGATTCAAGCTTTGTTACTCTCCCATCTGAGGTGTTGTAAACTTTGCTCCCTTTCTGTAAAAAGCGATGCTAATTTTGTTTCCTTTGTCTGAGATGATGTAAACTTGGTACACCATCTGTAAAAAGTTATGCAAATTTTGTTCTCCTTCTGTCTATGACGATGCAAACTTTGTTACTTTTCTGTCTCAGATTGGAGTTACAGTTCAAGTAACCATGGGAAATAATTGGTAATGAGAGTGAACAATTCATTACAACCTGCACCATATCTATAACAACTGTCAACTAAAATAATGAAAGCACACAAATATAAGACTTCATATTACATTAATCCCAGAGTGCCATCTTTCAAGTTGTGATAAAAACATTAATAAAATGAAGAGATTTGGTGAATAAAGTTAAAGTTGTTTGTGACACATTGTGAAAGATTGGAGTTACATTTCAAGTAAGCAGTTGTTTTTTTGATGAGAGATAACCGTTCATTACAATCTTCACCACAAATATAACAACTTGTGACTAAAAGCATGAAAGAATACATACACTACATTTCAGAAGTTTGAATCCACCCCCAGAATTAGCATGGGATGAACTTGACAGGAGATTGAAAACAAAATGAAAAAGGTCCCTGAGAGTCATTGAAAAAAGAATGGAATCTATTATCAAACTTATACTTTGAGAAACTTTTGCAACAAATGCCAAAATGTGTGTTGCAGCAATCAAGGCTAAAGGAGGATATTTTGACGAGAGCAAAATTTAATCATAAAATGCTTTTTTTTTTCTTTTTGCCATAATAAAATTTCCAATAAGAAAAAAATCATTTCTCACTTTTTTTAAAAAATCATGTATAATAATTTTCTCTTATTTAAAGTACAAAACAACTACTTTTTGGACCAATTTAAAAAATTACTAGGTGAACTGTAGTGAATGTAACAGTTTCTTTAATAGTCAGAAGCTGTTCAGCCAAGAGAGTTGTAATCAAAAACAGCAATAAGATGAAGGGAAAACTAGCTAAACAAAATTTAATAACATAGTTGAAACTTTTTATAAAATTATTAATATTTTGACATAGGATATTATTTTTCAGTTTTTAAAGGAATGTTAAAAACTTTTTTTTTTTTTTTGAACAGAAATATAATCAGGATAGTTATTAATTTATATTTTTCCTTTTTTTTTTCATTTTCCTCATTTCTATTTGTACATTGTTTTTTTTTTTTTTTTTTTCTCATTTCTTTTGTACAGTGTTTCTTTTTTCCTTTTACATTTCTATTATACATTGTTTCTTCTTTTCTTTTTTCATTCCTTTTATATATTGTTTCTTTTTTCCTTTTTTCTTTTTCTCATTTCTACTGTACATTGTTTTTTTTTCTTTTTCTATTGTACATTGTTTCTGTTTTCTTAGCAATTGGTCGAGCGATAAAGAACAACATGACCCTGAATGCCATCAACCTAACTGGATGCAGCCTTACTTGGCAAGGAGCAGATATTTTTGCAAGGATTATTAAGGTAGGTTCTGCTACATTATCTGATAGATTTTTCTTCATAGATTTTCATGGTTAGATTCCATTGGAATGAAGTATGACAAAGTGGAAAAAGTTTTTCTGTGATGTGTTTCATCCTTTTCACTATAATTGTGCACAAACGAGAGCAGCTGGGAATATTAAATTTAAAAATTTTTTCTTTTTTGTTTCCATCACTTTTGTAAATGAATATCCCACATTGGCAATGTTGTGAAAATGTATTCCTAAAATAGAGTATATTTTAAATGAAAAATGAAAAAGAATTTTATTTTAATCTAAAATTTCTAAGTACATTTGCCGAGCATTAATCTTGCTAGAAAAGGGGAAATATTAAAGAAGCCGGGTCTAGTATTCTTTTTCATTTTTCATTTAAAATATACTCTATTTTAGGAATACGTTTTCACAACATCGCCCACGTGACGCCGACATATTGTGAAACAGAACGCTGATCTTAAAAATTTCAGTTATTCTGTTTTGATTAGTCTTACTCTTATGTCTATCGTTTTTTCATGTTGACTTGAATATCGTCTAATGTTAATAATGTTTTAATAACTATGTCCTGAAGAAGGTCTACTAGACCAAAATGTCTGATGTCGACATTGAAATAACATTAAAACAGCATATTTGCATATTCGGATTTTTGTTTTTCCATATATTTTTCTTCATATATATATATATGTGTGTGTATATATATATATATATATATATATATATATAATATATATATGACAAAGTGTAAAAATTTTTTGTGTAACACATTTCGTCCTTTAGTTTGGACTTCATCGGACTAAGTTTATGTTGAAGCGACTACACATGCTCACGAACAAGAGACACTGGGAATTTTAAAGATGATTATATATATATATATATATATATATATATATATGTGTGTGTGTGTGTTTTGGGTATATAATCTGATTTCATTTAGATTCATTTTCCTTTCGTTCTATTATTTTAGAAATTTAAGTTATTACTAAAACAATCTGCAGACTTTGAAGTTTTATCTCAGTGTCATTCGATCATAACAAGTGGGAAGTTTTAAAACTGCTGCATACAACAAATCATTGTTACATTTTTAACCAGAGTTAATTCTTTATTCCAAAGGATTCTTTTTTTTGCATAACCCCCAGTTGTTGAACCATCTTCACTTCATTTTGTTTCATCAGCGACCTTCTCACCCTCTGAGATCAAAAAACACAATGTGGCAGAGGAGAGATTGGTCGCTAACAGACAAATGCCAGCTGAGTGGAACTGTGCCTACCATCACGATAACAGAAACCAATGAATTATGTGTTAATGAGGGAAGAGTCAACCAGATGGTAGCCACGGTGGTCTGAAGGAACTTGAGGACAAACACATGGTATAAAGCTACATTAATGGTGGCTGTTGATGAGGACTGAATTGTGCAGTGACATTATTGGTTATTGTTGACTAGGATCGACAAGTGTAGTTAGAACATTCCTATGAGAAAAATGAATAAGGTTATTGCATAGAAATAATATATTAGGTCATAAATAAATCATTTATATATCTTCTTCACAAGTTGAAAGGTTATGGTATTTCTGGATGAATTTTTGTACTGATTCAGTCTTTCTTTTCAAATCAAGAAATGAAAGCTGTCTTGAATGGCCACTCTTCTAGATCTTTTTACATTAATGCAGGTGTTACTCAGGTCCCTATCCTTGAACCTATGTTGTTCCTAATTTTCATCAATGACCTTCCTGATTGCCTCAGTTCTCAACTTAGTATCTATGCTGGACTATTTATTCTTGTCTTGATAGTAAGTCTGATTGGTAGAGTAAGGCCAAATTGGCAGTTGATCTCAAAAGTGACCCACAGTCTGTTGTTAACTAGGGCAAGAAGTGACTTGTTAATTTTAACACCTCCAAAAGGAAACCACTCTCTTTTAATTGTCTGAGAGAACCCATTTTGACTTCCATGAGCATGGCTGATGCTTGCTTCCAGGAGAGTGACTCCTTTCACTTTCTCGAGCTAACATTTTCTACTGACTGAAGTGGAAAGTTTATGTTGAATTAATTGTTATGTCTGCTGCTAGGAAAGTCGGTTCACTGTGCTGTGCTAGACAATTTTTTTTAAGTGAATGTGTCATGCATATTTATATAAAACTATTATTTCGTTCATGCTTAGAGTATTGCTGCCACATGTGGTTTGATGTATTCACTATATATTTAGAGATTCTTGATAAAATCCAAAGAATCTGCAATGTTATTGGTTCTGACATGGCATCTTAGCTTCAGTTACTTTCCCATCACCATAGCTTCCCTGTGCCTTTTCTATAAATACTTTCATGGTACTTGTTTGAATTAACTTTCCTCTATGAATTTAAGCATAGTACTAGATTGGCAGCTAGGTCTCCTAATTTTACAATTGAAATGAATAGATATAACCATAAGTTCTATGCTAATAGCTTCTTCTATCACTTGTGGAACTTTCTTCTGGCTTCTTGCTTACCAGTCAACTTTGATCTTCAAAAATATAAATACAATGTCAATCGAAGTCAATAAAAGAACAAGAATTAA